GGAGTGGGAAGGTTCCATCATAACCGTTAGACCAAGGCAGCAAGAACCGCCTCGTTTTGACAAAGAAATATTATAATAGGTTCAATAAGCTAATGTTTATGATTAGGAACTCATATCGGTCAATATACAAGCTGAATCCTTCTATACCCCTGAGGTTTGCGCACCTCCACATTCAGGCAACGCCTGCACCACGATACCATCGCACGATACCCTCCTCACCACCCGTCACAAATCCAGCGGCACCACTACCACCAATGCCACCCGCTCCCAAAGAGATACCCTCCTCCTTTGAATCTGGCTTGACCGCAAAGGCCATCGGTCTCCACGCCACCCCATAGATGGCAGGACCTTCCCGAACGACGGCCACCGCCTTTCGCATACCCACGTCCCATACACGGACCGTCCCATCTCGCCCACCAGATAGAGCCAACTTTCCGTCTCCAGGAGACAGAGCTACAGAGAGAATAGGTTGCGAGTGTCCTGTGAGATGGGCTGCTGTGGAGAATTGACTGGCAACACGAGCGTCGTGGAGGACGAGTCGTTTGTCATCGGATGCGGACATTAACAGCTATGGATCAAAGGATAAGTTTGCGTAGGTATGGGTTCGGAGATCTCACATTTCCATCATCGCTCCACGCAAAGGACCGAACTGGCATAGCATGACTTGCCCAGGAAGTCACTGTCGTTTCCTTTTCTACATCCAAAACAAATAGCTGGTAGTCCGTTGGAAATAAGAGCAGGAATGCATAAACGTTTCTCAACCTACCTGCCCACTTTCATTACTCATTGCGATTTTATTATCATCCGAGGGACAATGGTCAACGAACAGACCAAATTTTGAGCGGCCCGTAGAGATATCCGCAATTCGTGAACCGAATTCAACGCTTTCTCCCTCTTCCATTTTCATGCCACTTGTGAAAGCGGTGGAATGTATTGTGACCGAACCGGATCCTCCAGTAGAAGCATAGACCTGTCCACTAGCGGCGAGGGATACAGACCAGGCTTAAGAATATTTGTTAGCTTGATAGAAACTAAAGAGATGATCTATCTACATACCAGGCTCGGCATATCCATCGACAGTCCCAGGCCCTTTATCCCGCTGTCCAATACCCTTCTTGCCAAGGGTCTCTCCTGTTGTATAGTTCACCATCATTGTGGTCCCAGCGATGGAATTGACCAAAGCTAGATGCTCGACAGCCTTGTTCTCCCCATCGGCTCGATGAGCGGCAACCGACAAGGATGTCCACCCTAGAGGGTGTGGTGGCCACGTTCGAATACGAGCACCAGGTACGAGTCCCGGTACAGTCGACTGGGCACTGAATGAAGATGAGGAAGAGGATGCATCTAGCGCAATTGTTCCATCCAGAGATGCGCTCAGGACATGGTCAGTCGGAGTGACCGCGATCGCCCAAATAGCCGCAGTATGAGCTGAGATGGATTACTACGGTGCTTGCTCATTGATTCATAGTTTGCGCACCTTGCTGTGCGTCATGCGAGTGCACGAACTGTAGACTCTATGTCCAGTCGTTCAGTCAGATTGGTTCAACATTGACACATTAGAGCAATCACTCACCATTTGAAGCTCCTATGATCAGTCTATCAGTCGAAAAATAAGCCTTTTTTGAAGTGTTGATGGCTTTCTTGACTGTTATCGTTCCCCGTCGTGGTCGAAGGGCAAAGGTTGTGGCATTCAAGGTTGACTTCCGACCATCACAGAGAACACCACAAATGGCCGCACAACCCAAGCCACTAGGCTAAAACAAGCCCAAAGAGGGCCTTGTACAAGTGTTTCAACTTTGGTATCCATCCAAGAACTTTGGCCCGGACCCTTGATCATGGCCAACACCCGCCAACACCATTGGGCTTTTTGAGTTGAACTGTAGGTAAATAAGCCATTTGATTTTGTCATGGCTGGTGGCTAATAGCCTTCCCTTTCACCAGGCCAAGCTAATGGCTTACCATCGCCTCTAGCTTAAGCCAAAGTCTAGCATATATAATGGGTCTTTCTAAACATTAGAACCCACCTTACTATGATACATACAATCAGTTTATCTTCTACCTCGCTCAATCGCATGTCTCAAGATATCCGGACTTCAGCGCAACTCGAGGGATCACACTTGCCGGTACCCCTTGCGTCTCGTTCCCATACCTCGGCAGATGGTATTCAGAGGACACAGTTCATGCGAGGGTTTCAAATCGTTCAGCGAACTCGAGCAATCCTACATATGGTCTTCAGGTACTGTGCTCACTATTTCCATGTCCTTGCAGGCTAACTTTGTAGCCGTAGACAAGGAGAAAATGTGCCTACCACAGAGAGCCCCTTTGTAAACAACCAGAGAGTCCTTCGTGGAGTACAAAATGCAATCGGCACGAGAGAAGGGACAAGTCCAGTGCCTAATGCCGTTATGT